ATGTGTCTTTTTTTCTACCTGACTAACTATGTAATAATGCTCATGTTAGCTTTAGTTATATCTTTCTGGTCCAACTGAAGTTTTTTTTCATAGTTTCCTTCTTCTAACTTTTGAGGTCCTTCTTTATGCCATGCAAAACAACGACTAGAAGGTTTGTTACCAGTGGTGCATGCTGGGATAGGGTATACATGTTCAGGAGTGACCCTGGGAAGTTAGTTGAGTTGAGCCTCCCCTTGGGCTTTGGCCTGGGGAAGGAGTGATGTGGATTGTCTGATGTTTCTAGGCCTACTGCCTATGGAGGTAACCAGGTGCTCAGACTGGCCTGGGACTGAGGCTCAATGAATGAAGCTTGAGGATGGGGGTGACATGGAGCACCTTCAACAAGTACATGGGAGCCTGAAAACGTATCCTACTAAAACATGGCGATTTCTTCTGAAATGTACTAGTAGCTATAGCATTAAGTATTTTACAGCCAGGAGCCAAAGACACAGATTGCTGCAATTGGTTTAAAGGTTCTCTATCTGTGAAGGCTGAAAGTACTTTGTTATTTTTGGAATCTAAAGCATCATATCATCTGTGTGGAAGTCAGTTTTATCGGTACTGGAGAGTTGACAAGTGCTTTTGGGGAAGCAATGAAACTGTAAACCCTAGGGACCTCCTAGACAGGCTAGGAGGGCCCAAGTCATGCAGCAGCTCCTTCAGGGGTGAACGTTACAAATATGTAGAACAAGAAAACGACAGACAAAGATAAGCAGCAAATATGAATTTAAAAAAATACAGTAGCATGTGTCCCTTTACCCTGCTAGTCAGCAAAACATACCAAATCTGCTACTGAAACAAAAATAAGATCAGCAGTTTTAGTTTAAGACATCTACAAATGTATAAAAGCAATCTAGCAAAAAAGAGAAAACAGCAAGTAAGATATACATTTCATTAGTTTAAGTATATGTAATGTGGCATTGTGAGGCAATACCACAGTGTTAGGTGGCCTCAAAGTCACCCAGGGTTCTCAGCCAGAGGGGCTGAGTGGCTCCAGGAAGACAGTACGTGTACCAGGAGAGAACTGCCTTTTCAGTTCTTTCCAGGTTTTCTGGATCATAGTTGGGATCCTGGAGCCAGGAGATTTCTTAGAGCTCTGGGTGGGATGAAATCTCCATTCCTGGGTCCATGCTTTGGTAGTGATGTGCACCTGTGTACATCCTTCATGAAGAGTGTGCTGGGATGTGTTCAGGGCCCCACCTGTGAGTCAGGAGAGCTCCACCCTGGAGTCAGTGTGGAGGCCAGTGCAGCAGGGAGCTGCGGGTTTGTGAACCATATTGAGAGGATTGGCATGTTATTGCCGTTGTCTGGAGGAACCAGACAGTGGCCCTAAAGATTGAGACCGGAGCAGCAGTGTGGCAAGAGAGACAGATTGGAGAGTCCTTGCTACAGTAAATACAATCAATAACATCTCATATAAGCTGTAATATGTAACCACAAATTGAAAAGTCACAATCAATATTTTTAAATCTGAAGTTTTTTATCAAAATATACAGTTGTGCTCAAACTTTTGCATACCGGCAGTAAATGTAAAATTTTGGCATTGATATTGAAAATACGAGTGATCATGCCAAAAAACTGACTTTTATTTAAGGATAGTGATCATATGAAGCCATTTATTATCACATAGTTGTTTGGTTCCTTTTTAAATCATAATGATAACAGAAATCACCCAAATGGCTCTGATCAAAAGTGTACATATCCTGGAATGTTTGGCCTTGTTACAGACACAAAAGGTGACACACACAGGTTAAAATGGCAATTAAAAGGTTAATTTCCCACATCTGTGGCCTTTTAATAGTCAATAGGTTTGTAAGCTCTCACATGGATGTACTGAGCAGGCAAGATCCTGAGCCATAAGGAGCAGAAAAGAACCAAAAGACCTGTGTTACAAGGTAATGGAACTTTATAAAGATGGTATAGGATATAAAAAAATTTAAAATGATTTCAACTCTTATGGGCACTCCTGTCCCCCCTTCACCGCAAACAGCATTACTTAACGCCAAACCCATTCACATCCCATTTTCTAAATTCAAATTAATGCTCCATGTCCTCTCAGCTGCTAAACTTACTATTGCCAGTTCCTGGTTTTCCAACAAAGTCTCCTTTCAGGCCACTAAAAACAGAATCTACTGGATCTTCTCTCATGAGAAACTATCCGCGCGCCTAGATGATCAAATGCCGAAGTTTGAGAAACTATGGGAGGCCTGGATAAGACACTTCCTGCCACCGACCTTTGACACACATTTAATCACCTCATGATCTCTCCCCTTCCTAACTACATGGCCGACTCGCGAGTGTAATGGACCGAGCGTCAAAACCCCCCAAATCCTCCTCTTCCCCCGCCCAATCTTCCCCCTTAACTATTCTTCTCCCCTGATCTTCTCCTCTTCTGGTCTGCTCTGATCGTAATGGTGGGATCCCCACCAAACACCTCCCCACCTCCTTATGCACAGATAGGTGATTGCTACAAGTATGCCATGTTTGTTATAATGTCATCTGTTACACAGCAATACCAATGTCTACATTACTGTATATGCACACGCACGATGTTCGTGTTAGTGCATTGTTTATTCAATGCATTACTGAAAAATAAAAAAAGGATATAAAAAGATATCCAAAGCCTTGAAAATGCCAGTGAGTACTGTTCAATCACTTATTAAGAAGTGGAAAATTTGGGGATCTCTTGATACCAAGCCAAGGTCAGGTAGACCAAGAAAGATTGCAGCCACAACTGTCAGAAGAATTGTTTGGGATACAAAGAAACATCCACAGGTTACCTCAGGAGAAATACAGGCCTCTCTGGAAAAAGACGATGTGGTTGTTTCAAGGAGCAGAATACTTGAACAAAAATGAGTTGCATGGTCGAGTTGCCAGAAAGAAGCCTTTACTGCGCCAATACCACAGAAAAGTCTGGTTAGAATATGCCCGACAACACCTTGACATGCCTCACAGCTTCTGGTACACTGTAATTTGGAGTGACTTTTCTATCAAGTCGTACAAATATTCTCTCTTGATTCATTTACTCAATGCCACAAAGGCATGCATTTCCCCTGCATGGAAGTCCTGAGATGCCCCCTCAGTGGCCATGTGGGTCAACAAAGTGAATGACATTATGCTTATGGAAGACGTAACGGCATCGCTCCATGACAGATATGATCACCTGGATTGACTTTACTGAAACTTCTGCTTTTCCAGGGACAGCGGGTAGGTGATTCTCTGGTCACATGGGATTTTGATGAAAACTACAATTGGTCCATTTTAACACACCTTGCATATAAATGGTGCACTGTTGTCACCACCAGGAAATCTGCCCTGAGAAATGTCATGCAACTAGGGCTGCAACAACTAATTGACATAATCGATTATAATCGATTATTGAAAAAGTTGTCAACTTTTTCAGTCATCGATTAATCGGCCTCTGATTGGTTGGCCCTGTTCACGGCTCCACACAAGCTGCGCGCCGCACCTCCTCCCCACCTCACGCTCGCCGATGTATGACCCGCCCACCCACATCCACACTCCGCACCTCCTCCCCGCCTCACGCTCACCGCCTGCCCACATCCACGATCGGCACAGGGACGCGGGGAGAAGTAAGGAGGAGCAGGTGTGGGGGGATGACAGCCGCTGATAGACAGGCCTGATCTCAGAAGAAAGTTGCTGGAAGACTGCTCAGGTAAGATTGCACTTTCCCACACATGGTGCTCTATGATGTATTGCTGGGAATTATATTCCTCTATAGCTGATGGTACATTGTGCAGTATATTATACCATCAGCTACAGAGGACTACAAATCCCAGCAATACATTATACACTGTATGTATATTGTTGTATTCCTATATAGCTGGTGGTATTCTTCATTGCGCTGTATAGAGGACTACAAATCCCAGCAATAATACATTATACAGCGCAATGCGGAATACCACCAACTATAGACGAGTACAACAAATCCCAGCAATAGTTCATTATACAGTGGTGCAATGCCGAATACCACTAGCTATAGAGGATTATAAAACCTAGCAATAGTACATTATACAGTGCAATGCAGAATACCACCAGCTATAGAGGACTACAAAACCCAGCAATAGTACATTATATAGTGCAATGCAAAATACCCCCAGCTATAATGTACTATTGCTGGGATTTGTTGTATTCCTCTATAGCTGGTGGTATTCTGCATTGTGCTGTATAATGTACAATTGCTGAGTTTTGTATTCCTCTTTAGCCGGTGTCCATTCTGCATTCATTGCTGTATAATTTAACACTTTTCATTTCACTATATTGCACACCACACTTTTTCTTTTTTACTTCCACTGCTCCAAGCTTGCTCCTGTGATGGACTACAATCTCAATACAAACTAGTAGTCCCATCACTGGAGCCATTTTTAAAAATGTATTTCATTTTTTATCCGATTAATCGAACGTAATAATCGGCTAACTAATCGTTTTTGAAAATAATCGTTAGCTGCAGCTCTACATGCAACCGTAGATAAAGTGTATACATGTAGCCAGAAAATGGCTGCAAGAGGCTGCAGGTGGTAGGCACAGAGATGCAGCAAGGGATGAAAAAAAGGTGAAAACAAGTATTTTTTTTGATGGCAAATGGTTATGCTGCACAGTTCTGTAATAAGCTATATATAACTCATTGAGGGATTACATTAAAGGTCAGCACTATTTCAGAAGTTTAAAAACAGTGATACACCAAAACAAAAAACCCCAAAAAACAGAAATCAGTTCATGCCAGTCACATAAGCTTAAAAACTTCTGCAGACAAAACCCGGGCTGCCTGATATCATAGACAAAACTAATCATTGAGGTCACAAATTCATTAGTAACTCTTATGGTTTGCTTTGGATCATGCTTTCAAATAAGCACTAGAGAAAATGCAGCTATTAAAAGTAACTTGGTACATTGTAAGTAGTGTAAACTTTATCTATGAGAATGATCATAGTGTGTCTTACCTGAAGGTAATGGCACGGTCTTAGGGAGGATTTAATTTCCTGATGGACAAGAGGTTTATCCAAATTAAGTGATGATTTCCGATAGGCTTCTTTTGCTTGACTAACAGTAAGTGTTGACCAGGAACTTCTTTTCATATATTTACCTTCAGGTGTCATTGAAAGTCCTTCACAAGCCGAGCATTTCATGTCATTGTTACTCTTAGAGGTCTTCAGGGAAAGATCTCCAAAATGTCCCTGCAGAGATTCAGGATAGCAATGAGATATATGATCTACATGCCTATTCATTACACTAGGTGTTCTATAAGTGCTATCACTATCCAAATTATCATCTGAACTCCACCATCCTGTCATCCCAGTTTTTTGCTTGTTGTCAGGTTTCCGTTCCTTACTTTTACTCCTTTTACTATGTTTTGAGTAATGGCCATGATGGTGATCATCACCGCGACTGTCTCCTTTTGTCCCATTAACATTACCTTTTGATGACCCTTCTAAAGAGTGAGACTTAGTAAAAAGTTTCTGTACAGAATGAACAAGATGACGTATTCTCCCTGGACTTTCCGTTCGCTGTTCTGTAGCAGTGGATGTCTTCTGGTACTGTAACGTATGAAATCCATCTCGGTGCAAAGGAAGCTGTTTTTCAAACTGATCCAGTAAGTTTGCTGGGATTCGGTTTATTTTACTACTACTAGTATGTGAGACAGCACAGTCGTCTCGAGTTTCAAAATGGGAACTATAGTGCATTCTTGGAAAAGTGCTACTTGACATATGATCACTCATCATCACAGGCATCATCATGCATTCTGAGTGGATGGAACTCCGCGGAGAACACCGGTGGTGATCCATCGGACAGCTCTCCGTTGGGCTAAGTAGATATGATTGCCTAGGTTCTTGTCCATGGTGCCCATGGTCATGTACATGTTCACAATCCTCAGGGGATGCCAGGCCACAAGTATGACCAGCGCATAACTGTGACTGGTTCCGACTACCAGATAATCCTTTCATATTCCTAAGGGTAGGAGAGTATTTTTCTTCATTGAAGTGCTGGGTAGGTGACCATGAGTATTGCTGTTGATCTGGAAAGAAAAACATTGTAAGAATTATGTATTTCTCTTAAATATCACTTTAATGCATAAGGTTATCTAAGCCGATATAAAAAAAATAAGTGTCCATGGAGCTTAAAAAATTCTAAGGTTGTTAGACTTACATTTATGTATGCTTACCTAGTTATTAAAGCAATCCTGTAAATAATTAATAAATAATTTTCTGCTAAGCCATAGTTGTCAGGGCAGACAGGGTGTTCTAACCCTTCCTGCTGCTAGTACTGCTGAACTCTGATGTTGAGGAATCAATTGCTGAAGTCCACACTGAAACAGACACTTATAGCAGTGTAGATCTCCATAATCCCCCGGAGGTTTCTCGGTTTTCTACCTCTGACCTCCCCCTATAACAATATACAGTAGTGACATGAGGGTCAGCAGGAGGAAGCAGTGAACGCTAAAGGTTACCAGAGATAACAACAATACTCCCGGAGGTGTAGGTTTCAGTGCAATTTTGGCAGAAGGTTTTTCAGTATCAGATAGGAGTTTGGATGCATGGGAAGCAAAACAAAGGGTGTCGGGGGCGTGGCCTGGACATGGAGCCGTGAGGACGCGTATTGGGAGAGCTCTGCAGTAACCGAGCCGGACCCACGTTTTAAGCTGACTTTTCATCGAAACGTACTACATGCCCAAGGAACAGAAGATCCACGGCACTCACGGAGACCTGCGTCCCACATCGCTGTACGATTTTTTCGCCCGCCGGCCCTCGACACCTACAGCCTCATCCCCGTCCAAGATGGCGCTGACCCGCTCTTCGGCGGCAAGTCTCCAGTCGGGTAAGAAGCTAGGTCATGCCACGGTATCCCCGACTCCCGACCTAAGGGACCCCCCTGACTCTCTCTGCCCTAGGCCCTCGAGCCAGACGCCAGCAGTGTCCCGACCGGCATCTCCACCCGGCTCCTCCCTGTCCTCGATCACATTGGGCCTAGATGTTCAGGCAGACAGCGGTCTGCAGGGCCTGCTGCCGCATCTCCCCACTAAACGTGACTTGGACAATATGGCGGCTTCCATAGTCGCGGCCCTGAAACAGGAACTGCACGATCTAACCCACCGCATCACGGAGGTTGATGACCGCGTCACTTCACTCCTGTCAGCCAGGATGGAAGTCCTGGAAGAGGACGCCAGGCTGACTAATTCCCGCCTCCTATCCATGCACCTCCGTCTGGATGATTCCGAAAATCGGAATCATAGGAACAACCTCCGCCTGAGGGGCATCCCGGAGACTACAACCGGCATCCACCTCAGAGACACTGTGACAGCCATTCTTAATACCCTCCTGGGTAAACCCCACGATGCGGCCATGGAACTTGACCGGGTCCACAGGGTCACTGGTGCTCGCCCTCCCACGCCCTCCGCGCCTAGGGATGTCCTATGCAGGGTGCACTTCTTTGCTGTGAAGGAGGAAATTGTCAGACAGGCTTGGCGGCAGGGCCCCTCTGACTTTGATGGTGCCACCGTGCGTATCATGCCGGATCTTTCCCGCCATACTCTACGTATGCGACGCCTGATACGTCCCCTGTTGGATCTCATCCGCTCTGCCGCAGCCACCTATCGATGGGGACACCCGTTCCACCTCATTGTCCGGCGAGACGACTCTACATTCCAGCTGCACTCACCTGACCAGCTCCCGGCCTTGTTCCGCTTTCTAGATGTGGACTCTGTGGATGTCCCCAACTGGCTGGAGTTTCCTGATGAATCCTCGGAGATGGCAACCCTTCCCCCGCAGACCCCTCGCCGAGCCAGGAGTGGGCCCCGATCCTCTAGGAGGGAACTGATGCCCCAAACCCCAGCAGGCCACGAACTTTGAACTTACCCTGGTATCCTTTATTGCCATCTACCACTGGCTCTGTGCGCCCCCCCGCACCCCATCATTGCTGAGACTGTGCCTTCTTATTAATGTTTTGCTCCCTTCTCTTCTAGGCTGCGGAACCCAATTTACCTGGTGCGGGGGGGAGGAGGTGAGCCTTGGGCCCACTGGGCTGCCTCTCGCTGTGGCCAGGTGTTTTTGTTTTTGCTCTTGTTTTGTTTTGACTGTTTCACTCTTTACGTCATGCTTAGACTGTTGTGCAGCATAAAGTAAATGCCCCTGCAGTGGCTATCTGGTAGGGTGGACACTCCTTCCTCCCCCCCTCCCGGTCGTGACCGATCTCTGGAGGGGCTGGGATGTTAGGATCTCCACCTGGCCACCACACTTACCGGGTCCAACTGTTGTCTCTGGGCGGTCCGGGCGCTGGCCGGTGGAGATGGCTGGTATCCTGCTGATGCTCGGTCGCCCTCCCCTGGGCCATGGTGTGTGTGTGCATTCCCCTCGTCCCTCCGTGGGGCAGGTTTGGAATGCCCGCCCCATCCACTCCCTGCCCATGGACTTGATCCGCCCCCCCACTCGGGTGGGAATACGGAGCTGCTGGGCCATGGGGACTGGTGACGGAGACATTCTGTCTATGGGAGGACCCTGCCCCGTGCCAGGACCACCTCTACGGGCTCCTGGTTTATTAATTTCCGTTATGTTCCTTTCTTTTTCTATCCAAGTAATGTTTTGATTTCATATATTGTGTCCGGCATAAGTGACTGCACCTCCTCGAGGTTCCTCTCACTTGCTTAGTTCTAACCACACACCCCCAATAGGTGGTACCCTCCCATCGTCAGATCGGAGGGTACAATTTCGCTTTTGCTTAGGCTATACGCCTATTGTAGTCTTCCCTGTCTTGGTGTAGGCGCATCTGCCTGACCTTGCCTCTCTAGCTCCACTCCCCCTACCCCCCCATCCCACCTTTCCTGCTATCTCCCCCCCCATTTCTTTCAACCTCTCTTACTCTTGCAGTAGGTCGGCCCCCCTCCAATATGGCAGCAACAGGCCCATTGCATCTCACCACTTACAATGTCAAGGGACTGGGCGTCCCGGAGAAGAGGTCCAGGCTCCTGGTGGACTTGAAGAAGGCAGGTACGCAGGTGGCTTTTCTTCAGGAGACACACTTTAAGTCTGACAGGGTGCCCAAACTCAGGAACAGGGATTTCCCGACCTCCTATCATTGTCCGTCCCCCATTGCCAGGTCCAAGGGAGTGAGCCTTCTACTATCCAGGTCAGTGGCTTGGACGTTCAGGGACCTTAGGACTGACCCGGAGGGTAGGTTCTTGTTTGTGAAGGGTCTGATAGGAGATGTCCTGGTTACACTAGTAAATCTGTACCTTCCCAATTCAGATCAGGTGTCCTTTATGCAACGGACTCTACCACTCCTCCTGGAGTTTGAAGAAGGCCTGTTAATAGTGGGGGGTGACTTTAACTTTGCGCTTGATCCCCTACTGGACGTATCTAGAACAGCTTCCCACCTCCCCTATTCCCGCTTACGGAGACTTAAATCAGAGTTACACCTCCTCAGACTGACTGACGTCTGGCGCACCCTGCATCCACAAGTCAAAGACTTCACATTTTATTCCTCTGCCCACAACACGTATTCGCGCCTCGACTATTTCTTTCTCCGCCACAAGGACTTATCATTGGTCGTCGACGCGTCGATTGGTGACATTCTGTTGTCTGATCACGCCCCAGTTCACATAGCGCTAGACCTCCTCCCTTCTGTCCCCAAGAGTCCCTCGTGGCGTCTAAATGAGTCTTTATTGCAGGACCCAGGGATACGCTCTGAGCTAGAACGTACGATCCGTTCCTACTTTTCAGAGAACTCCTCCGAATCCCTGGCACCCTCGGTGGTCTGGGAGGCGCATAAATGCGTCGTTCGGGGCGTCTTGATTCGGCACGGAGCCCGCAGGAAGCGGGAGGGGGCAGTGAGGGTGGCCCAGCTCTTTGCCAGACTTCACACTTTGGAGTCCGCACACAAAAAATCATTGGCGGCTACCCATCTTGGGGAGTTGGTCCTCCTCAGGAAGGAACTTAACGACCTCCTCCTTTCCAAAGTACGTCAAGGCCTCTTAAAAGGCCGTCGCACCTTATACGAACTTTCTAACAAACCGGGTAGGTGCTTGGCATCGGCCATGAGGGGCTCCCGACAGACGACATTCATACCCCACATCACGAGTCGTACGGGGACAAAGTTGACATCGTCCGCTGACATGGCCAAAGAATTCCAGAGCTTTTACAGCGCCCTGTACAATCTTGGAGCTGGTTCGGGCGCACCCCCCACTTCAACTGACAGTTCGGCTCTGACACAGTATCTTGGGGAATCAGGGATGCCCACTCTATCGACTGCGATAAGAGACCAACTGGAGATCCCGATCTCCCAAGAGGAATATGACCTGGCGCTCAAGCAGGCCAAAACGGGTAAAGCGCCTGGCCCTGACGGCTATACCTTGCCATATTACAGGACCTTTTCCCATATTCTCTCACCCCATTTCCTGGAAGCATATAACTCCCTGCTGACGGGTTCCTCTCTCCCCAGGGACTCCCTTAGGGCCCACATAGCGGTCATACCCAAACCGGGCAAAGACCCATCCCTATGCGGCAGCTACCGTCCCATTGCTCTCCTTAATTTGGACCTCAAGGTATTCGCTAAGATCCTAGCCAACAGACTGCTCCCTCATATCCCTGGCCTTGTGCACGTTGACCAAACGGGTTTCGTCCCGGGACGGGAACCCAGGGACAATACCTCCAGAGTGCTTAACGTGATACACCATGCCCGTTCCGCCCCGTCACCCTTGCTGCTGTTGTCCACCGACGCAGAGAAGGCGTTTGATAGGGTGGAATGGCGCCTTCTCCGAGCCACCCTTCGCCACATAGGTCTGGGTCCAGGCATGATGCGGTGGATAACTGCACTATATTCATCCCCGTCGGCTGCGGTCCGTGTGAACGAAGCCCGCTCTGAGTTCTTTCCCATCTCTAACGGCACAAGGCAGGGATGCCCACTCTCCCCGCTCATATTCATCCTTACCCTCGAGCCGTTCCTCTGCCATGTGCGATCCCTCCCTGAC